TGTTATAAAAAGCTGGTGCAATAGTACAAAGCAAATACATTTGTACTTTGTAAAGACCAGTTTTATGCTATTCAATACTGTAACTGCTGCATGATGTGTGTGTGTGTGTGCTATTATTAGTTAGACATGGTTCATAGGTCATCAAGACAAAAAAAATTAATAAATATAAATAGATGTATACTGTTACTAGATTTAAACTATTTAGAATAAACATTTGTGGTTTCCTGTTACAATTTGCAGTCATTCTAGAATGAAAAAATGTAATTTAGATTTATTTTACATTTTTTTATGGTGGTTATGAGATCAGTCAAGTTGACCAATCTCGTATAGAGTTTAAGGAGGTAGAGAAAACAACAAATAAAATATAGTTTATATAAAAATAACGTTTGATAGTTACCTAGAAGTTATTAGACGGTTATAGAGATTATACAACTGAAAATTGACAATTTTCAGATGAAGAAAAGCATTTTTAAGCTTAAAATCAATGTTATTTTGCATGTTGGATAGTCAGCATTCCGAAAGAAGAAAATTCATGAGCAAATCTCTTAGTAAAATATCTGTGTACAAAAACCGTGTAATGTTTACTGATAATCTGGGGAATTTTATAAAGATATGTGCACATTATCAAAAGTTATATTGTAACTGTTTTGATGGTTACTTTAGTAGATACAGGCTGGGTGCAATGCACCCAGGCTATAGTCAAAGAGTTACTTCTGAAGCTATGGGAAGGGTAGGATTGATTCTGCTAATGCATTCTGATACCAGCTGAGAGAAGTTTATTGATGCCCTTGTCTCCAAGTGCAGAAGGCAATACTGTCACAGGAGCCAATGAAACAGAATTTTATTTTGAATCTAAAGCAATCATTGTGAAGATTCTCATTTTCAAATTTATAGCTATTCTTGTGGTATTACACAATTTGTTATATGAGATTAACCTTGCCAGCAAGTAACTTTAAAATAGTTATTGTAGCATGTCTTGACGTCTTGGTATACTCTGCATCTACAAAGAACAAAAGATTTCACTCATCATTATAGGACTGATCAAGGTTTTAGTGGATACAAGTGAGCTTACAGAATACAAGAAATCACTAGAAAATACTTATAAGGATAGCAGATTAACATATGAAAAAAGAGAACAGTTTTCATAATAAAGGTGTGATGATCTTATCCTTGATCCTCAACAAACCTTCAAGGCAATTTCTTTAACAAAGTTGTTGGTGCAGCCATTAAATTCATAGAAGAGGAGCTTCAGAAGCTCAGCTAATTTCTCTTTTTTTGTATTGGATTGCTGACTTGTCAAAAATGACCTCAAGAGACTTGACATAAAAGCTCATGGATCTCCAGATCAACTTATCAGATATCAAAACAGCTAATGCCCATGTAACAGGACTGTGTGCTGAATATAGACTCTCTCATGGAGAATGACTGAAATTATTTTGGAAAGTGTACAGAAATATATATTCAAAATAAGATAAGTATCTTTGTTTTCCAACAACTTTGTTGCATGGAGGAAACTGTTGGGTATGCCCATCATTGTTGCTAGTGAAGAAAGAAACTTTTCCAAACTTAAATTGATTAAATCCTATTTGAAATAACATTGGTACAAACAAGAGTAGGTAGTATGGCAACATTTTTGATAAAGCATGAAATTGAACAAACATTGGATGTATAGGAAGCAGAGTTTTATTTTGCCTTAACCCTTTATCTGCCGTGGCCATTTCGATCTTATTGTGAGGGCAAAATCACATTTGTGAATTGAAAAAATTATAGAGAACTTATCTTTTATTGGATTTCATATTTTATTTCTTTAAATAGTAGCAAAACATTTAATTATTTGTACAAATTTGTATTATATAATGAAGTTTAAAGAGGAATTTAATGAAAAAAATCCTAAAATACGTTTCAGACTGTAAATAAGTGCCTTCTAAGAAGAAAATTTTTTTCAAAATGTTAAAAATATTTCCTTCCATATCAGCACTGGTCCTGCCATCTATGATTGGTATCTAAACCCTTTTCTAGTTTGTTTTATTTATAAAACAGCGTCTGGGCATGTTAAACCTCACTTGTAAAACTTTTAGCCAATTCTAGACGAGGGTGTCATTTCAATACCATGTTATTCCAGTCACTGTATCTCACATTTGACAAATCATAGGATCATAAGGAAAGCACGTGACGAAACGTTGTTCTCTGGATTTTACAATATGAATGTGGGTGATGCTTATTATAGTAACTGCCATTTTATGTAGAGGTTGTATGTAGTACTGGCCAATAGGGCTTTTCTATAAGTGTTAGAAAACTTGCTTCTGGAAAAAACTGCATGTTTATATTAATCATTATATTGAAAAATTAACTCAAAATAGATATATTTTTTAGGAAAGAAGTTGATCCATGACTGTTAGGGTTAAGAGCTATTGAGTGGCAAGTGCAAGGTCTTTACATGAATTAGTCTTAGGACTTTAACTGAAAGAGTTTGTGATTTTTTATATTCTTTTCAATTTAAATTTGTAAGTTCAATAATTTAGCGTAGTTTTATATTTAGTTTATAATAATAATAATATGATTCAGTATTTAGAATGATAAACTCATGTGATTTGTAGGTAATACTGCTAGTACGAGAACCACATAAGAATTTTATATTTTTCCTTCTTACACTCTTTACTTTGTAGTAAGACCCACACTTCTGTTGCTATTGCTTTAGAATTAAAACAGTCTAACTGATATATATATATATATATATATATATATATATATATATAGTTTATTTGATATTTTACAAGTGGTTTAAAACTCAGTGTACAAGTGACAACAATAAAACCCATATGTTGGTTGTGTAACAGGCTAAATACATTCATCTCAGTAATACAGGGAAGCTATGACATTCTCACAGTTGGGGTCTCAATACACTGCAGAGCTTAAGTTTCCAATTCCAACATAAATCTTGCCTATAATGAGGGGAATGTGACCAGGACTAATCTTTTAAATGCTGTAGAGTAATTTTCTTTGTAATTTATGGTGTCTGTATCTTTGGTAATATATTCTAACAGGATGTATCAAGTAACAAGGGGTCAGGTTTAGGCAGTGTTTATTGAAACCATCTGTACTATAAACTGTTACATACATTTGCTAGTAGTGGCAATTAGTTTTGTCTTTATAGTGAAACAATATACGCAGACATATGTTGAAATAAGCTTGTTTGAAAGTTCAAAGAAATTATATTCAAGTACTGAAAACCTTTCTTACTATCATATCTAGAGTAATGTTCAAATGTGCCTGAGCTGGGCTGAATGAGAGTGATCTTCAACAGGGGTGAGATAGTTTAGGGAAAACGTACAAAGTTCATGCTGCTAACCCCACGGTTTATTCCGCACATATAAAACACGATAAGCAAACGTGCGGCTGCAATAAAAGTATATTTATGAAACAAAATTAAAATGTTTTTATGTACTTATATAAACATGAAATCCTAGTTAAAATTTTTTGGGATTGCAAAATAATGTACTAAAACATAAAAAGTAATAAGTTCAAATCCGGAACAAATATAAATATCGTAGTCATTTCTTATAAATACCATTTCCTAATGTAATTTTCCAAGGTATTAAAGATGATAATGCAAAAAAACAAAATTTATCAAAAGTAACATGCTTTATGTTTCTTAAACTACATGCATTTATGAAAGTTCTTATCACCTGTATTACCCATTGACCTAGTGTTCAAACATGACATATATTTTGATGTATTAGGATCTGAAGGTTGGTTACATTTTCCTTGTGGTTTCTATTCATATTGATTCCCAATATATGAGCATTTACAGACAGTGTAGTGATGTTTTATTATAAGGATTAAAATTTTTGGGCACCTAAAGCCAAACTGGAAAACCAAAAAAATAGTGGTTTGTATATTTATTAGGGGGGGGGGGGACTTTTCTATTTACATTGTTGTGATAGTTGACATATTTCCAATTCTCCCTTGGGGTAATTTTGTAACAAGAACCTTCAAGTGTTTGCTTTTTTATTTTACTTGCTGTATTATTTGTCCCATTTTTTTCCCAACTTGTTATAGGGGATAGTAGCAGAGACAGTGTGAGAAGAACAACTGTGTAGAAGCTATAAATGTTTTAAGTAAAACATGCTTTGAGTACTTAGCCCTTGCAGCATGATGTCTTTGTTTCTACATCTAAATTTATAGTTAGTAAATTCAACTTTTATTTGATTTTTAGACCATGGATAATCTGTAGATAATGTGTAAGGGATTAATTGGCTCCTGATTTGAAAGTCAAACAGTGATCTTATTAAAGTGGAGGTGCATCAAAGAAAAAGCATCATAATTATTTTAGTGTACATATAGGTTAGAGGAATTGTGGAATGATTTGCCAGAGTTATTGAAGTTGAAATTTGTTGCATAGTAGGATTTAATGCTGTTTTGTGAAAAGTAAGTGCTTGGATAAACATTAATTTTATCAGATGCTAATTATTAGTTATTTTTATTTTTAGAAATTTGCAACTTTCAGTTTAGAATTTAAAAATTAGCTCTAAAAAATTCATAATGGGAATTTTCCAAAATTTAGGACATCAAGTGTGATTTTTCCCAATTTGGAGCAGTCTTAAAGATCATACCATAAAATTTTGTATTAATTTCCATATATTCATCTTAAAGTATTTAGATATTGTAATAATAGTCTGGACAAGTTGGTAATATTTAGTAAATCACTAATTATTTGTCAGTAAAGTAACATATTTATTACTAAATTCAGTGAATTTGTTTTAAAGTATAGAAAAAATGAAGTAGTAAGTAATTTAAACATTTTGAAAAATAGGATATTTTGTTTTTACTAATTATCTGTAATGTTTTGTTTGATAGAATATAATGTTTATAAAACACACTGGATGTTTAATTGGCATTCTCGGCAAACAAAAGTGTAAATAATCTTTCTGAATTGTTTTTTAACTACTTGACAGTGACATGTATGTTAAGAAATTAATTCCATATGTTGATTTTTATAGCACCACATGTTTGGTCATGTTCGAAGTGTCATTATCCCTGTGAAGAGGAGAACCAATTGGCTGATCACCTTGCCCTTTGTGGAAATTCACAAGCAGTGGTATCTACCAAGAGACCAGAAACAGATAATCAAGGTGTACCAAATGTTGGAGTTGGAACTGTTTTTTACAAGTGTAGTCGGTGCTCTTTAACTTTTACAGCTGAAGAGGAAATTAAGGTATTTATAAAGAGATATAATAGCTTTATTGGGTGTTTATATCTTAAAGCAAAGTTTTTTTTTAGTCATTATCATTGCAATTAATTTTTAATATCTGTATATATCTTTACAACTAAAAATTTAACTATAGATAAAAGACTAAATTGTTCTTATTTGCAGAATAACTGACATTGTAGAGAGTTCAGTATTGATGGTTCCAAAACATACTTACCTCTGCTGACACTATAGCTATTTCACGATCTCCAGGTTTCTACTCTTTGCCCAACTGAGCATTGAAAATGCTTGTTCCAGACTTTATATCTCCTGCTCAAATGCCCCTGGCAAATTCTAATTTGCAAATTTCTCCACCAACTTCAATATGCCCTCTATCTAGATACTGTATATAAACACCTTATTCAGATAATGTAATCACTTTTTCTCGACAAAGTGTTCAGCATAAGTTTCCATAAACAGAAGTGTTGTGATTATTTACATGATTTATGTTGCGACTTTGGACATAGTTAGTGTGACTGCTGTTATATCTTCGCTTATATTTATAAATTAAGTAATTAAAAAAAAAAGAAAACCTGATGGGTATGAATTCCCGTATTAATGTTTCTACTATGGAGACCAACCAGACTTTTTGTCTTCCACTTCTGCTATCTGATGTTTGTCAGTGACCAGAAGAGAAGGTCGCTCTCAGTCGAGGCTGTCCATGATATAATCCATTGCAAGACATATATGCGGACTGAGGGTGTTTCTTTTGGGGGGGGGGGGGTTCGTAAGACAGTTTTTACAAATGCCTTGGGATCAGCTGGAGACAATTTGGAGATTCATTTTTTCCAGCTCCTTCTTCTACTAGGTCAGCCTCAACAGAGGATCCTCTTGATCAGCCACCTCCATCCTGTTTTCTTCAGTTGGTTACTTGGGTTTGTGAAATTGTGAGGGTCTCTCCTATTGCATTTGACTCTACTCCTTCCTTGTTGGAGGAAAGGACAGCTATTAACTACTTGGGTTTTACTCCTCCTGATATTGCTGTTTATGCTGGGAGATTTGCCGCTCAGTTACGCGATGGCATAGCTATGGCTTGTCCCCCATGTTTATCCGAACAGCATGCTTTGGCCTTTCACTGGCAGGAGGAAGTTTATTTAGATTCTCAATGGATGGATCTGTGGACCTTTTGGACCTGTGGAGTACTAGATTGGAACCTGTGATCACTTTGAGCAGATCACAGTTTTCATGGATTTGTCTTACTCTCACTACTGTTGTGAGGTACTTATCTTCAATACAACTTTTGTCAGAAGTCTATCAACATTCCTGTTAGCAATTTCAAGACAAGTTGGGGACTTTGCTGATGTCTACTTCAGTCAGATTGTCTTCTTCAATTCTATCTCTGGGTTTCTTGGCTGGTTTGTTGTTGGGATTTACTGAGTAGAGACACCTTGTTAGAAAATGTTTGTTTACCGTTTTCTACCCTCAGGGAGTTATGGGAACCCCCTTTTCTCTGTCCCATGTGGTTTACAAGAGTTCTAGAGAAATTGGAATCATGAATTGATTCAACTTGTTTACATTCTTTTTTTATCATTGTTAGCTTCTCACCTTTCTGGTGCTAATTTAAGAGTGTTGGCTTATAGTGTTTCCCGACCTCCTCCTTTAGTTCTCAGGTCTATTGGTTCCAATAATAGAGTCCATTCATAATATCGAGGGTCTTTGGCTCTGACCTACCATCGACAATGGCATCGATGACTATCCTGTGGGTGGGGGAGCAGTGGGAGCACGATACATCCCTTTCTGGACATCTGGAGCTTTTTCACCATGGATCTACTGGTACTTCATGTTCTGGATTTAGGGTTGTCATTCAATTTACATCTCCTCCACCATTATCTGCTCAACCCATTGCCTTTTCACCTCCAACAGATCCACGATGAGTGGAGCTTTGTTCCCAGGCCATAAGAGAATTGTTAATCAAAAAGGCAGTAGAGAGGGTCGAACCCGTTCTTCCAGAATTTTATTCCCATTTATTTTATGTACCCAAGAAGACAGGAGATTTACATCCAATCATCAATCTGTTTCGACTAAACCAATTTTTAGATCCTCCTTGCTTTACCATGGAATCTTTTCTCAACCTACAATGGAATTTTGCCCCAGGGCTCTGTATAACCAAGTTCAATGTTACAGATGCTTATCTCCATATTCCCATAGCAGAATATTCTTGGAGGTTTCTCAGATTTGTGCACAAGGGTCAGGTACTGCAGTTCAGGGCTCTACCCTTTAGTCTTGCATCAGCACCTTATGTCTTCTTCAGAGTTGTACGAGCATTTTCTCGTCATCCTCATTCTTTGGGTCTGTGCACACCATTATATGGACAACTGGCTCCTTCTGGCACCATCCCGTCGATTAGCAGAAAAACACTCTCAGATTCTCCTTTCAGAAGCCACAAAAGCGGGCTTTCTTATCAGACTGGCGAGATTTATTCTGTCACCGATGCAATATCTTGTCTATCTGGATGTGTTTTTCAATACTCACTTATGTCAAGCTCAACCAACCCCTGTCAGGTTACAAACCGTGGAAAGAGCCATCAAGCTTTTACTTTTGTCTCCTTCTCTTACTGTGCAGATGGTTCTCTCTCTTTTGGGGATGTGGGCATCCCTCGAACCTCTCATTCCTTTGGGAAGAGCACATATGAGATCTCTTCAGTGGTCACTGCGTGACTAATGGAATATGCATTCCGACCCTTTGGATATTCCAGTCTCACTACTCAGGAGTAACATTGTTGATTGAGAATGGAGGTTGGATCAGAACAACACCACTATTGGGGTACCCATTTTGTCCCGAGATCCATCTCTTCAGAGATGGGGAGCTTATCTTCAAGGTCAGGAGTTCCAGATTATTTGGACAAAAGTCTAGTCTACCCTACATATCAACATTCTCAAACTCCTTGCAGTACACTGGGCAATGGTTCAAGGTTTGTCTCTATTGAAGGGAAAAATTGTCCTGATACATTCTGACAATTCCACGGTGGTATATCAGATTTCTCGTCAAGGAGGCATACATTCTCGAGACCTTTGTTTTCGTACCTTGGATCTTCTCTGCTGGGCCCTTTCCTATCATATCAATTGTATAATGTTGCTACTATAAACTCGGTTGTGAGAATCATGTGCCTAAGTCATGCATTTTCATATAATCTTTAATCAGCTGTATTTTCTGTTTTTGTTTATAAGATGTGCTGAATTATGTTTTCGTTAAGGCTAACTTTCAAAAAAGTTAATAGGTATCGTATCATCTCTGTAAAAGTAAAATATTCCAGTGGTTAGTGATAATATGATGTTACAGTGTTGTTAACACAATAATACTATATTATCTGAATAACCTTTCTAGTTTTATTTTTATACATTCCCTAATTTTATAATTATGAAAAGTCTTATTTTACAAAATAAATTGATATTATTCTAATTTTTTTTGTTTTTTGACTAAATTTATACTACTTGAAGAATATTCAGATTACTAGGTTTTGCTTTTTTATAAGATTGTGTTTGTCTAATAAATAAAATGAGTGATTGTTGGTTCTTATTCTTGGTTGATTAAAAAGCATTTAATAACTGCATGGTTATAGAAACAATGTTTAAGGCTCCAACATTTTTGCAAACCCACTTATAAACATGTAAAACAATAAAAAACTGTCCAAATTAACATATCAGAAAAAATTTACACATTTTTTGTTTCAGCAGGTTACTGATAAGTGAATAAATATTTTATTATTTCTCAATGTTTCAAGAGCCTAGGTTAAAGTACACATGCCACAACATTTTACACAGTTATATTCAAAATTTAATTAAACTGATTTATTATCAATGTATAAGAATAAACTTGTCATCAAAAAGTAGTTAATAAATTAACATTTAATATTATATAAGTTTAAATTTCCTAATTTTTGAAGGAAATATTTGATAAAATCCTCAAAATCCCCTTGTATGAGAATTGTAACATTTTCCCCTGTTCTCTAATTTGTTTACCAGCTCCCTGTGAAGTATGTAATTTAACATAACTTACTAATTATAATATAGATATTACTGAGGCAAAATTCAATTCTTATAGCCTTCAATTTTTTTTGTTCATGGAGTCATAAACTAGAAAATCAGACCCACTTGCCATGACTTCAAAGAGCAATAAAACAATAAAATTAAGTAGAAACAAATGTAGACTGTTATGAGCTTTATGTTCTTTAGGATAAACAATTGTGGTTTTCAGTTACAATCTACAGTCATTTTAGAAACAAAAAAAAGAGTAATTTTGATTTAATTTGCTTTGTTTTTTATATAGTAGTTACAAGATCGTTTGAATTGACTGAATACATATAGAGTTAGAGTAGAGAAATAACAAGTAAAACATAAAATTTTAGTGTAAATAAAGCTTGATATTTATGTAGGAAGTTGTTAGATATTACACAAATTAAATTTGACAATTCTCAGGTGAAGAAAGTATTTTTAAGCTTAACATGAAAATCACTTTGCACTCAGAGCAGTCAACACTCTGACTCCATATATTCACGGACAAATCTTTAGTAAAAACGCTTAATTGCAAAATATGATTTTTTGTGTGCAAAAGACTTGCCAAATGTTGTGAAGATACACATATCATCTCAAAACCTATAGTGTGGACACTGATGGTTACTTTGTGGTTACAAGATCAGTCACATTTACTGACCCAGTATGTAAAGAGTTAAAGGGTATATCAACCTGTGATATGTCCAACTTTTTTTTATTCTGGAGGAACTCAGTCATAAGAATCACTTTAACTGCAACCTTTTGAGATTCTCTTGGCTTTGAAAAAGCTGTTTAGAAATAATTTTGAAGTCATTTCTAATTTTATCATCCACATGTAATATAATAGGGTTTTACTGCTACAGAATAAGTCAGTAAATTACAACACACACAAAGACAAAACAATTTCCAATGTACTGACTAGTTTTGCCTATTTGAGAAGCATTGCCAGAATAATTGAGAGACAGAAGTTGTGTTATT